AAGAAGAGAAAAAATGGTGCAGGTGGGGTGGGGGTGGGGGTGGGGCTAGAAGAGGAAGAGAAGAAAAAATGGAGGGGGAGGGTGGGGGTCTTGAAGAAGATGAAGAAAAGGGTGGAGAATCAAGAGAAAGAAAAGAAAAGGGGTCAAAATCATAAAAATTAAATTTATAAAATTATAATTTGACCCCAAATGACCTAAAGGTGACTTAGAAACCGCCTATTTGACCACCGGTGAAAGAATGTTGAAAGTTCGTGTACTTTTGTGATAGGAATTAAAGTTTATATATTGATCATGAAGTGGAATAATGATGAAAGTTCGTATACTATAGGTGAAATTTACCCCCATGAATTGCCTTATTCCATAATTCAATAACCTCCTTGAGAAATTTCAACTTCAGAGCTAAGCCCCTCATACTTCTTGGAGAGTGATAAGTGGGCCATTTATTCTTGACCAAAGTGTAGAAAGACTCATGATTGCACCATCGATTAGGAAATCTAAATGGTTTTGGCTTCGTGTCTTCCCGCTTTGACTCGGTGCGCAAATTTATGTGAAACGAAAAATGTTTTGACTTTCGTAAATTGCCCTCCGCCCACCCTCTCGTCCTCCATCCTCTCTACTAGTCCGCCTCCACATAATCCTCTCCAGTTTGAAACTTGATGTTGCTCTGTCCTTTCCATCTAACCAATGAAACCACCGTGAGTCCCTACTCTTTACCACCACAATAAGACGTCGCCGCAAACCATCTCCATTTTATATCTAGATTGTGGATTCCATATATTTGCGAAGATATGATACAACCTGATGAGACCCGTCCAAATCGAGCAAGATTTACATCCTCAAATCATCAGATCTGTCATTGTGCTTTATCTTGTCCAGTTTTCTTATTTTGATTATACTTCTTTAATAATGTTCTGCACATTGGTGAGCTCTTGCACTACACTATGTGTTAATTTGTGAGTATAATTGGGTGAAGATCAACCATTGGGGTTTGGTAGAAAAATGATGTTTTTTTAATTATTTTTGTATAGGGAATTGAATGCGAGTATTGCCACAATGATATTGCTAGGATCAACCTCAGGGACTGTTGGTATTGGTTAGCAGGGAATTGTCTTAATCTCGCAAGTTTGAGAGGCCAAGTAAAATACAAGAATTCACTTTGCCTATGATACTCACTCCTCCACATACTCTGCCTATGATAGATATTCTGCACAAATTTTATTTTGATGTTGTATCATTATCCAAAATGTGTTGCCTTTTTTAAACCTTTGTAATATGTATGCTGCATTAAGTTGCTCCACTAATTTTTAAGTAAATATTAAGTTATTAGATGATATTAATATTTTGAATATATGATTTATTTTTGTTTCGTGATTAATATTTTATATTTGAAATAAATTTTAATTATTAAATATGGGTGCTTATGATTTAGAGAGACAACATAAAATAACTGCGTTTCGGATAAACAATTTGACCACTATTCAACTTGATAGTTTGAATCGTATGCCGACAACTACACAAACCTGTACTTTTAATCAGTGCTAGACATCTGAAACACAGTTGTTTGAAATGAAACAAAATAGTCTTCTATGTTCTAGATATACCTTAAAAATAACAGTTGTTTGATGCAAATATTTCTAGTGGTCTTTCAAGAAGTTGTCTGATAACCAATTCGATAACTACTCAAACATATAGTTTGAATATTTCAAGGACCACTAAACAAAATCATAGTGTTAATAATCATTATACAACAAAAATAAACTGTTGTTTAAAATAAGACCAAAGTAGTAGTCTTAATTTGTACATACAACACAAAATAACAGTTGTTTGATGAAAATATTTGTAGTGGTCTTCTGAGCAGCTGTCTAATAATCAATTACACTACTGTTCAAAAATATAGTTTGAATATATTAAGAACAACTGCAAAAAAGCGTAGTGTTATTACGCACTATACAATTGAAAGAAACGGTTGTTTAAATACAACAAAATTAGTAGTCTATGTTTTAGAAATATAACACTAGATAACCGTTGTCTCATACTATTTTTGTTTAGTAGTCTTCCGAGCAGCAGTCTGATATATCTTTCAACTACTTTAGAATTTAGATATCTATATTTTTGACCGACAACACCAAACAATAGGAGTCTGAAATCGAAAACAACAATAGTATATAATATAGATAGACAACAAAAAATCACAATTGTCTTTAACTCTAGAAAACAGATGTCTTACTCATACGAGGACAACTTCAAAAACATGTACTCTGAAAGATCACAAAATATGTGTCGTCAACCGTACTACACAATTGTTTTTAAATAGTAGTCTGTAAATATATCAGACAGCTGCTCGGAAGACTACTGAAACCAACACAGTTAGACAACTAAAAGAAACAGTTGTCAGCATCTGCTTTTGACGTAGTGCGCCACGGGGGGAGGAAAACAAAAGAAAGAAGAAAAAAAGAAGAAGATGATGATGACGATGTAGGACGGATGGACAAAATTGGAAGGGGGAAAGAAGGAAACAAAGAAAGAACAAGAAAAAGAGAAGAAGAGGATGTGGCTCACTGGCTGGACAAAATTGGAAGTAAGAGGAAGAAGAAAAGAAAGAGAGAAGAAAAGAAGAAGAAGAAGAAGAAGAGTGGGGGTGGTTGCTGGACGCCTGGACTGGCAATGAAGGAAGAAGAAAAGAGTAAGGAGTAGGGAGGGTAATAAAGTTTTTTTAACATAGAAAAGTTTTTAAAAAAAACAAAAAGTGTATTTGTGGACACACAAAAAGGAAAGTGGGAAGTTTTTTGTAAACGGGGGGGAGTATACACACACACACACACATAGATATATGTGTGTGTGTGTCATGCTAGTCTTTTCTTCTATATGTTAACTTACCTCACAATTCATGATATTGTGTAAAGGCGACATATGAAGCGATGGAGGATGTAACACAACGGGATAACATGGAAGCATCGAGGGAGAAGTTGTACTATGCCTTAGTTGATGGACATGATTCTAAAAATCGTGCCTTTAGAGTAGGAAAGATGTCAAGGACTATGACTCGTGACAAATTTTCTTCCAAGCACAGCTCTAGGAGTACGAGCTCCGCTGTTGAACCCTCTTCTATGCAAGCTCTTAAGGGGGATATTATCCAGATGCTCCCTGAACTAATTGCCCAAACGATCCTAGAAAAGAAGCAGAGATTGTTTGGAGACCGTTTGCCCCATAAAGAGGACGAGCCAAACGGTGGTGGAAGTGCACCTAAATGTTAGTCTAGGAAGTGGGGAGAATAAGTTGAAGAGAAGAAGCTCTAATTATCAAAGAAGTAATTCTAAAAATGCTACTCAATAGTTATGTCTTTTTCCTGATTAGTCATTAAGATGAACTAATTACTGAAAGGATATTAATGCTCAGCTTAGTCCTCTAATAAATGGCTGTAAAACCGCGCCAAAACTTATACAAATTTCCCAAAGTTATTCTTTCCAATTGGATATTTTTTAAAATTAGTCAATTTTTGAAATAAAAACTCATCAAATATGGAAAGAAAATTTAAATTTTATATGATGAAAATATAATAAATAAAACTGTAAACTTAGTTTAATAAATTTGAAAGTAAATGTTTTAGATTGTTTAAAATTATTTAGAAAAATACCATGCAAGTAAAATATTTAATAAATGGTTCCATCCATTCTAAAATAAGACTCCTACTTCACTTTATGAAATTTGACCCAAGTTATTTTTAAATAAATATAACTCAAAATTAGACTAGAACTTTTGGTTAATAGGAGTCTTACTTTGGGACGAAAAGAGCATTACGTACGAAACATGATTTAGTTTCAGAAATAAAAAAAAATTGGCAAAATAAAGCATGCATTTTGTATTTACAATTGAGTTCGGTAATAATGTAATTACCGTGATCAAATAATACTCCTTTTATCCCAAGTTTAGGTTCATATTTACTATTCACATTGGCAAACTAAATACTCTTTCTGTCTGTGAGTATTTGTTCATTTTTTTAGTTTTTTGATCAAAATTTATAAATTTTGACCCAAAATTAAATAAAAATCATATTACATATTTATCCAAAAATGATTTTATTAGATTTATTATTTCAAATATTTTCAAAATATTATTTTATCGAGTTAATATACAATATTTATTTTATTAAATCATAGACCAAAGGTTGAAAAAAGTTGACTGAAAAATATCAAAACTGGATAAATACTTAGGGATAGAGGTAGTATATGTTTTCTTAATACATTTTTATAGATTTTCCTATGTACACTTTTAATTTTCTTTTTTTAAATTCTACACCAATTTTCAGTTCTAGTTTTTTAAAAAAAATTACTTCATTCAGTCATCGTAAAGCAAAATAAAAGCTGTATTTCAAAACTGGGGGAGCAATTAAATAATGTTTATTAAATACTTTATTTACCTGATATTCTTCTAAATAGTTGTAAACATACTAAGGGGCTGTTTGTTTCAGCCTCTTAATGGTTCAGATGTCTGAATGGTTCAGCACTTAATGGTTCAGACTGTTTGTTTCAGCCTCTTAATGATTTAGATGTCTGAATGGTTCAGACATTTGCCTCTGAATGGTTAAGTATTATACAGAGTCTGAATGGTTAAGACCTCTTATCTAAATTGATCAGACATTTGCCTCTGAATAGTTAAGCAATATACTAGCTCTTAATGGTTTACTGGTTCAGCACTTAATGTTTCAGACCTTTTACTGGTTCAGCACTTACCTATTCAGAAGTTGCCAAACAGCCTCTAAAACGTTTACACAAAGGTCGTCCCCTTTCAAAATGAAAATCCCACAATTGAATTCACGACCAACCAAAACAAAAAATTACCCACAAGTAAAATTAAAATTTGTAAAAGAAGTGAAATGTAATATATTGGTTTGGTCCATCATGTTCAATTTATTTTTCTACTTATTACTAATGTTTTTATTTCAATCAGATTAGATCAAACGGGATTAGATTTGTAGTAGATATATCCACATTTTACTAAGTAAAATATCATAATCTGAACTCCCAAAATAAAGTTCTACTCCGCATTAGTTTTAGATTCGATTTAGGCCGGTGAGTACCCACCCATACATAGGACTACAGAATTGATCAATAACTTCATAAAGCATCCGGAAATGCTAAATTAGAAAAATGGATAGCCCAAGCAGAAGAAACACGAGATGATGAAGCGGGCCCAAATGGATCGGAGAATGACTTGTCTCGCTGCTACGTGGGGGCCCATGTCGAGAAAGGCCGTGAGTGGGTGAAGGTGATGGGCCTGCTGGAGACTCCGAATGTGGCCCGTTGGACAGTTCAGTGGGCTGATCAACCTTCGGAACTCTGATGTCCACCTTCTGTCCAGCCCGGCAGTGGCCTTCTAACCCACAAACGTAGTAGTAGTGACCCGGGCCCAGAATTTGTATGGAGTCGTTGCCGGAGACATATGTGGCTATGGGCGACGTCGTGTTGCAGGAATTGTAGTCTTCGTGGCTCACACGTAGAACGTTATGAACATGTGGATCGTATTCAAAAGCTGTAGATTGTTACAAAATACAGAGTAGTAGAAAATTAGGAGTGGACAAAAATATATATAGACTTGACATTGTTTCGAACTGGTTAGTTTTTCAATAATACAACTTTTTTTCAACTTCTAAAACACTACGATATGAATATATGATTGGCATTGGTAGGGCATAGTACCATATTGTTCTGCAGCGACATGGTATCAAATATTTTTAATCAAAAAATTGAACTTTACGAACTACTCCCTCCCTCTCAGTGTATTTGATTAGTTTGACTTTTTTGAGTCAAACTGGACACTTTTTGAACTTCAATTAAATAAAAACCGTAATGTATTTTAACACAAAAATGACTTTATTGGATTTATTAAATTGAAAACTTTCAAAATTGTATTTCATTAATTTATACTAATATGCAATGCAAATTAATATTAATTAGAGTTTAAAGTTTGTTTAGTTTGAAAGTCAAACTGGACAAATATACTGAGACAAAGGTAGTATAATAGTAATAGTACCAACACACTATTGGTTTTATTAAAATCTCAATTGATTGTGAAGTGACATGGTATCAAATATTAAAAGCTAAATTGTATTTTAGGTTTTACATTTATGTCTAAAAGTAAGATGTGATAGATACCTATTATATCATATTTTTTTTACCCGTCCATGGTAAATGGATCGAAGTCGGGCCCAAATGGATCGAAGATCCCTCCGTCCATGTAAGATCTTCCCATTACGCGTTACGAGGCTTGACCGACTTTATTTTCAATTCAATTTAATTGATTATAGAAGTAAAATTTGAAAATAAAATTTATATAGTAATAAACTACATGAAAAGTTCTACAAAACTAGAGGTGACAAGACTATATTATTTTATGAAATGACTAGTAAAAATGAACAAAAAAGGTGAGTAAAGTTTGACCAAAAACAAAATTAGAATGTCAACTACAATTTAACACTTCTTTGTTTTGGCATTTGTTCGAATTAGGAAGTGTTAAATCCAAACGGAAAGAGTATACTCCGTATATATGAAACACTACATCAAAAGTTTTACAAAACAACTGGTTATTACATGTTTTTTTAATTTTATCAAATAATCGATAAAAATATTTATAAAGAAAGTACATTTAGATTGACGAATGCATAGTAACTAGGAGTCTATTTGTGAGACGGAAAACTATAATTTTTTCACAATTCAATGTCAAGTTTGTAAAAATTAATCCAAAAAATCAAACACTAAATTTTTTTATAGAACTCAGAGAAAACTTTTATTTTTTACCTTGTTGAGTGTGAACAGAGTACAAATTTAATATTCTTTTCGTCTCAAAAACTCTTTCCTCTTTCTTTTTTTACTTGTTACACAAAATTATTCCTATTTCTATTAAAAAAACATTTTTATCCCTTTTAATTATGAACTTACATGTTGCATCATATTTTTTTACTAATAATCTATATATCACATCTTACTTTTTTCCATTAAATCAATTACTCCCTCCGTCCCAATTTATTTGTCACATTTCTATTACCGAGGCAAAATATCAAGTTATTTCAATCATTTTATTTAAATATTGGTAAAGAAATAAAAAATAAAAATTATATATCAAAAAACTACATGAAAAGTTCTTCGAAATAAGAGGTGTCAATAATATTTTATTTTATCAAATAATCAATGAAAACGTAGAAATAAACAAAAGTTCCCGCGACTGTTGAAAAAGCAAATGTGGCAAATAATTTGGGACAGAAGGAGTATATTTTTAGAAAATCAGCACAAAAAAATATCTTTTTCTTAAATTTCTTAAAACTCAAAATGAGAAAATTTTTTTTAGGCGAAAGAAGTACAGGAAAATTTTTTTTAGTGGTCGAAGAAAGAGATCAGATTGATAACGCACTGATGGTGTCGCCAACATGGAAAGTCTTGTTGGAAGCCCACTGGCGATAATCCACTCCACCAACCTTCCAAGTAGCGGCGTCGCCGACTTTGTACACGGCGCCTGACACGGTGGCCGGGAAACTAGGGACGGCCATCAACGTCAGCAACAACGCCGCCGCTGCTTCCCACCTCAACACGCCCATTCCCATATTCATATCATATAAATATATATATATATATATATATATATATATGGAACTTAATTAATTATCACCTGCTAGAAATTTGCTTGTAGTTTGTCTCCTGAAAGTTATGCGTACATTTTGTTTTTCTATAGTCAAAAGTGGGGATCGGAATTGGAAAAACAATAAAATAAATGACACATCTTTAAAACAAAAAAAAGAATTTAAAAAATGAAGTGTGACATGGATTGCGTGAATAGGGTTGGATGAAATTTGGTTGATGGAGTGCAAAACGTGACAAGTTTGATTGTCATGCATATTGACCATGCATGTTTGTATATAAAAACTATATGTTGAAAAAAAATACTCCCTCCGTCCCCTTAAGATGTTCTCATTTTGACTTTTGGTGGTTTTTAAGGAGAGTTGAAAAAAGGTGAAAGTTTACCATAATACCCTTAATGAAAAATGGGTGGAGTGTATTAAATGAAGTGGGTGAGGTGTAATAAATAAAGTAAGTGGAGGCAGTTGTGGTATTTTAATTGTTAAAAAATGAAATGAGAAGAACTATTGTGGATAAAGAAAAAGGGCTATTGAGAAGATCTATGGGGGACGGAGGGAGTACCTCATTTGTCAATTAAAGACAGTATGCACTATACATTTTTTTAAGATTAACTATCTAATAAATTGTACTCCCTCCGTCCCATAAAACCTTTTTCCTTTCTTTTTTTATCCGTCCCACAAAACACTTCTCATTTCTATTAAAAAGTCACTTTTACCCCTTACTTTTTCATACCCTAACTATCACATCATACCTTTTTACTAATAATCTATTCATCAAATCATACTTTTACCCATCACATCAAAGGATATTTTTGGAAATTCAATACCAAAATACACTCCCCTTAAATCCCTCCTAAAAAGCAAAACTCCCATGTTTCACGGGACGGAGGGAGTATTTCATAAGTGATGTTTTTCATATTTAGTGAATATTTATCAAATGTTATGTTGACCGTATTTATTAGTTAGGTATTATTCGATGTTTGGTCCACCGTCTATTTTTCCATTTTTGTGCCTGTTAAACAAGGTCTAAACGTGCAATAGTATCTAAATAATGCAAAACTAATATTTCATAAATATGGACTAAATATGAAAAAATCTTCAATTATAAAATGTTATTTAGAGAATTTTCTCTTTTTAAGCCACTTTTAATATAGAAATTAATGAATATGAAAACGTTTATGATAGTAGTTTATTTATAAAAATTCAAAATTTTTACATCATAAAAAAACCATTTTTTAAAAAAATCATTTTTAATACAAAAATTAGTACTCCCTCCGTCCCTTTAAACATGAGATTTTTTTATTTTGAAGAGATTTAAGGGGAGTGTATTTTGGTATTGAATTTCCAAAAATGTCCTTTGATGTGATGGGTAAAAGTAGGATTTGATGGATAAATTATTAGTAAAAAGGTATGATGTGATAGGTAGGGTATGAAAAAGTAAGGGATAAAAGTGACTTTTTAATAGAAATAAGAAGTGTTTTTTAGGACGGATGAAAAAAGAAATGAGAAAGGTTTGGGATGGAGTATGAGTTAGAAGAACAATGCTAGACTAAAACTAATTCTCGTATTAAAAATGAAATTTTTGGTAAATATTTTTTATGGTATACAAATTTTAACTTTTAATAAATAAATTACCAACTTTTCATATTTATTAATTTCTATATTAAAAGTACTTTAAAAAAAAGTAAATTTTCTAAGTGTGATGCTTATATGGTCCCAAAGTCTACATTTAAAATGTGTGCCTTCTCACATTTTATTGGGCTTGCATGTGAATATTTTTTTTCCATAAAAGGCTCACTTCTTTAATGATACAAATGCACTAAGGTTTATAAAATGAGCATGCACCTCACGTGCACCGAAGAATTTGACATTCTCTATATAGTCCTTTATAACGGAATATTTTTCATATTTAGTCCATATTTATCAAATATTATGTTCGCAGTCCTTATTGATTAGGTGCCACTCCACGTTTACGGAGATGGAAAAATAGACGGAATACTAAACGTGGAATTGTACATGGTGAATATGGATTGTCAACATAATATTTGAAAGTTGAAGGTGTGAAGTCAAAATTAAACAAATACCCTGGGACCGAGTTAGAAAAAAACTACTCTCTCTATCTCAATATATTTGTTGAGTTTGACTTTCTTTTGACACAAATAAACCTGACAAACTTTAATCATCAACTCTTCTATATTTGTAATGCAAAAATCAATACAATAAAAATTTTGAAAATTTTCTATAAGACGAATGTAATGAATTCATTTTTTGACTAGTGTACATTACCGTCGCTATTTAATTGAAATTGAAAATTCATCCAGTTTAATTTGAAAAAATCAAATTGGACAAATACACTGAGACGGATGTTATATGTGTTTACATAAGAAATATTTACACTAAATAGCACTAAAAGTTAAGTCATTCTCCTAAATAGCACTTAAATTGTTTTACCCCCTTAAATAGCACTTAATAATGTCCATAATTTCCAGTGATGACGAATATTTACTTGAATAATGACTAATGCATAATAACTAAAAGTGTTACATTGGGAAGAAAAACACATGTGGTACTATTTAGGAAAAGTCATTATGTTTTAGTGTTATTTAAGTAAATTCTCCTTTAAATAATACTCCCTCTATCTCATTTTATTCTTCAGCAGGTCGAAAAGCAAGGCCAATCCAGAAATGTGAAAAAATAATATTGGCCATATGCAAAATCCATGCTTTAAAATTAGTGCTAAATTTAATTTTTAATAACCACTTTTAAGACTTTGACTATTAAAATATAAATTTGTACATTCAAAAAATTAAATTTAAAAATACAGAGTATCAAGTAATTAGAATAATGAACATCTAACAATATTAGGCTCTAAAAGTTTGGTGGTCTTGTGCGGGTGCACACCTTGCACACGCTCTGGGCCGTCAATGTGAAAGAGTATTTATGAACAGATGTATTGGCATTAATCGAGTGAAGATTCATCTTGTGGTACACATACAATGCATGCCGTCTTTGCACAAAGTTACCTTGCAACTCCAATTTTGCCATTCTATCCAAATACAAAAATATACAGAAGCAAGCCATGTTCCATGAGAGAGAGAGAGAGAGATATGCCAGCCTAAAAGATGATAAAAATGAGACTAAGAGCATTAGTGCAGGAGCACAAACTCTATTTGGCAGAATACCAACTCTGAACACATTTGGCATCAACAGAGAGGCCAACTCTGAGAATATTCTTCCCATCAAACGGCTTCGACATACAGTCAACCACAATACCCTTTGCTTCCTCTGCTGATTCCGTCGGTCCTTCAAGAATTACTTCGTCGTGAACCTAATCTCACATTATTATTATTGCAGCAAAAGCAACAGGAAATCAAAGCATGTTAGTTTTAAAACATCAATCAATTGGAGTCTTTCTTTACTACTCTGTATATGACAACTCGCCCTCAACCCATTATTATTCCATCATTTGAAATCGTCGTTTTGGTGTTTTCGTTGGCATATATGTATAGTTTAACCTGATTTATTTTTTTTAGCTTCCCTGACATGGCTTCCTAAATCTAAGCATACCATAACATTTTTTCATATGATTTCCACAATTAGGTGAGAGTTCAATGGGAACCTGTAAAATCAATTTCCAGCCAAGCTCCTTTAACCGTTGGTTCTTTGATATTTCTAGCATGGCACACATTACAACATCTGCAGCACTTCCCTGTTGAAGCAAGAGACACAAGCATGTTACTAATTAGTACAACACAAGCTCCCAAGAAAAATCCCCATATCTCACTCATCTAATCTGGAGCATCTCAGATGAGTAATTTATTTTCCAAATTTCTTCTTCACCGTTTTTGTTTTCACATTGTTCTTCTGTACTATTGTTGTTACCGAAATAGACTATACTTATAGTTAGGTACACCAAGAAAGTTATAAAACTATAACTCCTCAATCACCCACCGAACCAAGCATAATTACATCTCGCCCCTCTGAGCCCTCTCCATATGTCTCCTCTCTATTCCAATACCCTCTGAATCAGACGGATGGTATTAATACAGAAACCTGGACAGGAGTATTGATGGCAGCTTGTTCAATGTGGCCTTTGAAATAGGCGGTTGCTAGATTGAGTGAAGGGAACCAGCAAGCCCGTCCTAACAGTGTGTAAACACATCCAAATCGATGTGCTTCAGATTTGCGTTGTTCTTGCCAAGTTAGAACCTCCTTCCTGTCACTATACCACCGGTCTACTGTTTCCCTGGCTTCCCTCACAGAAACCTGCAAGTGAAGTGTTGGTGTCAACCCAACCCAAATCAAGCAAAATATGAATCTTTGGCTCCATCAGAGATGATGGAAAGAAAAAAAATCCATCAATCTCTCTTTGCACTCTAAAGCACACAGATACCTTCCAATCCCGTGCAAGTCCCATTGTATTTTTTCCATTAGCAATGGAAAAATCAAGCATCTTTGCTTTCCTTCTTTCAGAAGCGAACGCATCCTATAGATGAAATAATAAATACCATAAATGAAGTTCTTTCCTTCTTTCAAAATTCTTGTACAAAAAGGCACACTATAGAACGCAACAGATTAAAAGACACCAACTTCTACTGTTCTACAACTCGATCAACATCTCTATATGAGATTTTACCCTTACCAAATTTATTTTGCACTGGTCATCCCTCTTAAAAGTCATATCCCCTGTCTCTTCTTAAGGTTCATGGTTTGACTTGCCAAGGTTTTTACTTTTTAATGAATTGGAAATCTGATGAGAATATTGGGTAGTAAAGTAACAACACATTTTTCACTAACTGTAATGAATAATGGAAATGGAGTGCTAAAATCATTTCCTTGAACTTAATGCTGACACTTAACATCACTAACATTAGCGGTCACATGCTTTCAAAAACTATTCATAGGGCAGAAAAAGAACTTCAAAATGCCATAAAGATAAATCAAACGGATCGTACCAACCTTTAGTAATGGAACTGATGGCTTATCCTCACCAGGGTGCGGGTGCCACTCAAGGAGAACCTGTTTCCGTTCAAGTGCTTCTTGTATGTGTGGATACATGTTTAAAGCAGTCCTCGAATGGAAGTCTCCACCAGCTTCAAAGGCAGCTAACATGCTCTTACAATTTGCAAGATGTGCAAGAATTCTAAGTTCCAACTAAGCAACACAAGGGAAAATGAAAAAATCTGCAATGAAAACAAAAAGGATAGAAATTTTCACACAAATAAGCACAGTGGAAAGTTACAATGATTACCTACCTGCCCATAGTCAGCAACAATTAAGGAATTCCCAGGTGAAGCTATGAACGCCTGACGAATTTTATAGGTGTCTTTTTCTAGAGCAGGCTGGTTCTGCAGCACATAAATCTACATTTAGCAGTTACAAACATTAGTCAAAACAAGAATAGTTAGCTACAAGACAGAATGTTCAGAGAAAAGTATGTTTATTGGTATTGTCATTCAAACAATTATTTGGTATTGTTGAGATATGAGATGTAGGATATTGTTAGTTTTCATGTGTGGCATGGTTGAGCTAATCCCAAAAAGAGCATAAAGATAGTCTAGTATCTTAATAAAAGTTGTAGTAAACTTTTGCATGATGTATCAAATTCCAAAATGCGTCAACACTTGAGTAATAGTAATCTTAAATGATTGGAATCTTATGCATGAAAACCTGCAAATTTGGCTTCCTTGATGACAAGCGCCCAGTTTCAGTATTTAGGTTTAGTGAACAATGGATGCGCCCGCTCTTTCCTGATACTGCACAGCCCTTAAAGAAATAAAATAGCACCAACATTAAATGTTTCAGCCTATAGAATCAAACATAGCTTCTACGCAAAATTTGTTTCCAAATATAAGATCCGTAACACATATTGATGGTTCATTTCCCCCAGAAAATAGCTTCTATGCAAAATTTAAGTTTTGTACAATAGGCCATGTGGTCACTATTTGATCTTTAAAGTTGGGTTTGACCGTTGAACCATATATACCATTTTGAGGAACCTTGTGCATTGGGCCCAATCTCCCTTAAAAAGAATATGGGAAATGTCTTCAAAAACGCAATAAGTAGATAAAGCACATTAAGTAGAAAACAATTCAATTGAAGTATCTTGATGACTCTTAATCCCAGTAGCCAATGCTATTTATTTTTTCTCTGCGCCATGATAAATTAACACCATAACAGAACCTGATAGGTGGTGGAAGACCTACCCCATCCGACCCCCCACCAAAATTAAAAGTACCAAAGATAATCACCTGCAAAGGGATGATGAAATTTGAAATAAGATAGTTGATGGAGCAGATATGACATAAAGAGGAAATGGCATAGCATGCCTCTATTCCATCTTCACCACCTCCAAAAGCCTTATAAGCTGTTCCATACCCTGTAGCATCTAGCTCGGTATAGAATGCTTCAGTATTAGCCACAAAAGACTCATCTTTGCTTGAAACGGACTCTTCTTCTTCATTTTCATCTGCTCCACACGTGATTTGAAAATCAGAAGAAACTTTACCAGCAAGAGCCCTTAAAGCATCTCCACTAACAGATGGCCATCCACTAGCAGTGTACAGAGCAGTCTCAATGCGGTCACCAATCTTATGAAGGGTGATCTTATGAAATTTTGGAGCCTTTTTGTCTTCTTTAGATATATTCTCTGTGTTGACTCTGTTGAGAACTGTGAAATCTTTCGGATCATCAAGAATCTCATTAGGGTCCTTTCTGTATGCAAAAGAAAGGAAAGGAAATGTAGAAGTGACAAGGAGAAGAAAAGAGGAAAAAACAAAGAGAGGTGAATACAGGGTAATAATGTAACACCTAAAAAGAACTCAGGATGTACAGTTGTACACAACATTACCCTTATAAAAAAAAGGTTGTTTCTGTTTAGAACCATTGTGCACTGCTGCATTTACTTCCCAAAACTTCATAGAAAGTAAGAAGCAAGGAATGTTTAATGTGTCATTTTTTATCTAGTCCATCATTTACCTAAAGCTAAAACATTGCCAAAATGACTCTGTTAGCTGGATTGGCCTTGTACTTACCTAAAAAGAAATAAATGAACAAAAAAATACTCTTTCATCAACATATTTGTTTAATTTTATGAAGCCACATACTTGTTCAGAGTGCCACCAAAAAAGAGGTGACGCAACTGCACATCGCTTCCCATGTTCATGTATTTTGCATCAGGGCAGTACTTAGATGCCCAGTTGCGAAATCTGTTAGAAGCAATCTCCTGGTCAGCTTGAGCCACTTTCTCTAACTCCGCAAGATAACCGCGATCAACAAGCACACCCTCAGTTTCCATCTGAACTAAAAGCTCACCAAATGGAAGCCAGTATTTCTCATAAAAGTTGAGCATGTTCCCTTCACAAACTCCATCAAACTTCCAGACACGGTTAGAGAGTTTTGTTTTCAAACTATCATAAAGCATCAAAGTGCTTATGGAATCTAAGGCAGAGTAACAAATCCATAATTTACGATCCTCTCTTTGCAACTCTTCAACAGATGGAATGGTGTCGACTTTACCGTCAGTTCCATCTTTCTTGAGTTTGTTCCTGCCAAAAATAGTTTTCATGGACACTTTACCAAGCAGCTCTTCACCAGGGGACACACTTGCATCACACATGACAGATGTATCACCAGTAAGTGCCTCAAGAGAATAGCCTCCCTTTGTACGTCTGGAGGAATCCCATAATCGAGCCATGTGCATTGTATCAGCATGAAACCCAGCCATTTTGAGTCCATAGTTCTCTATGATGTGGCAATCAAAACTATAGTTGTGCCATACCTATGAAAAGGATGAAGCACTTTATCAAAAAAGTTCTAGAAAGTGCCACAAGGAAAATGGATATTCCTACGTACATTTTGGTTACAAAAAATCAGGAAAAAATATAGAAACCCCTCACAACACTACCAAATGATGGATCTTACCTTTTTAATTGATGGATCTTCAAAAAACGGAGAAAATTCTACTAAAATATCATTCCCACCTCCATCAAGGACATCAACCCAGACACAAGATTTGCCATCTCCAAAATCAGTGTGTGGTCCAGAATAAATACTGAAGCATATGATTTCTCCATGATCAACTGGTGTCTCACGTTTGACATCAATCTTGGCTACCTATTAATTGTTAACGGATTGATGAAATAGCACAGAATTAGTTTGTATTCTAATTTTCATTTTCTCCATTTAAAGTGGTTCAAAAGATAATAAATTGCACACAAAGTACAGGTTGACTTTCTACAAAACATAGTTTTTATTTGCTCAATATAAACATGTGAAGAAACATTGATGTAACAGAAGCAGAAGACATGCCTCAGTATCGCATGCATGGATTAAATTTCTGTACTCATTTGTAAGCTTACTGACAACTTCCTTGGCCAGTGAGATGTTGTTGACTATGAGAACTTTGTCATAGATGGACTCCAGCCTCTCACAAAGGTTGGCCTTGGTAATGCTCTTCTCCGTGGCAGTAGATTTTGCAAGCTGAGTCTGGTTATGTCCAACCAAAACATCATAGCTGCTTTCAATCTCCCGACTTAGAATGCCTTCATCTTTCTTAAAAGATTTCTCCAACTTATTTTTTTTACTTTTTGCTTCTAGCAACTCAATAGGTTCAATAGCATTTGGAGCTGGTGAGATTGGAGATAATGTTGAACCTCTAACCTTATTGATTGACCTTAGTTTGGTGCATACTGATGGTTGTGGAAAATGGTCACTAGATTGTACTTTCTCAGGAGGTTTTTGAGAATGGGCAACATTAAAGTAACTACCCTTGCATCTTCTGTTTTGTTTGACTGCTTCAGCCTCAGCTGGCTGTGCAGCACTAGCTGCCACATGATCTTCCTCAATTCTTTGTGGGATAGCACTAGAGAAGGACCTTATTTCTCGTCCTAGTGTACGTTTAATCCGACAGGGATTACCATGCGTGGTGAAACCAGATAAAGGAGTGAAGGCACTCATGGTGCTGCAATCTTCTCCCCTGTAAATAAGATCATTTGTAAACAAGAGTGTTGAATTTTTTATAATCCACCCCCCACCCCCCTCCAAATTGCGAGGCAATACCCTCCAAAATATCAATATTGTATTTTGCAGAAAACATTTTCATGACAATTACTTATCACACACATAAAATGCTAAATTTTTTTAAAAACTTTATACCAATGTAACTTAAAAGTGCTATTTTAAATATTTTGGAGTTAAAGTTTCAGCATCCATTCCCAATGGAGCTAAAAACGTCAGTTTTTACAATGTTTTTGGCTTTGAGAGAATGATAACACAAATCAAAATGGAACATTACACTTCCTGTGTTTCTAATTTCCTATGATGTAAATGCAACAGTGCATCAAAGATGTAATGGAATTGAGTACATCTTGACCCTTGGACAGGATAGGGATAGTACTGGGTTTGTTGTTGGAAATGTGTACCTTCAAATTATATGAAAATCAAATGTTCATACTGCACATTTTGCAAAATACATCCCCTTTATCTATGAAGTCTAGTAGAGGACAAACAAAACCCAAAAAAAAAAAATCAAAGTATCAATTAACCATTAGGTTGCAGCATGGTGCACTCATGTAGGACAGTATGACTAAAATAATTGATTAGATCATTCTATATGTCAGAAATAAGGGTTGTATATTTCATTATTTATTTAGCACAGAAATGTAATGTCTAATGTAATTGAGTCCAATGGAATTAAAGCGAGCTAAACACAAAATAGCATACCCTAATAGGATTATAGACACCAATTCATAGGACAATTAACAGAAAATATCAAGTTCTCATAGGTGCTTAATAAAACTCAAATAATAATGTACAGAAAAAGAGGCCTACACCTTTTGTGTACTAATGCAGCCAACTTGGCTGTGAAGTCTCTAAGCTCCCTGCGGTTGCCTCGAAGTTTACTGCCCAGACTTTTTGCAACAACGCAGTTCATTACAAATGGGAATACGGCATCAACCACGTGCAACTATGAACACTCAAAATAAAGAGAGGACAAATTATAATTATCAACAAATGCAACCTGTTCAAGCCCAAATGTGCACCCTACGTATATTTCAGAATTCACAGATATAGCTCATTAAACCAGTTCCAAAAGACATTGTCTTGTTGCATGGATACAGTGCAGGTATAGGTACAGCCGTACAGTGTATATGCATGCATTAAAATTTTTGAAAGTGTGAAGACTTCCCAAACTTTTTGACATAAAAAACTGAAAAACCACTTGAAAATTCCCAAACCACACTTATTTAAACTTAGGCTCTATTCCTTTGGGTTATAAAAATAGAGTTCGATGTGGGAAGAAATTAGAAGAAGTTGGAAGAAACTGGAAGGAGTTGGAAAAAACTAGTAGGAGTTGGAAAATGTTGAAAAAAATAGTGTTAAAAAATTACTCAATTAAATAGTCACCCAAATTAATATGTTAGAAAACTAATTTTGGATATAAAAAAAAGAATTCATCTTCGTCTGCGTTTGAGTTGGTATGAGTTGAAAGAAACTGGAATGAATTAGAGAAAGTTGGAAATTAACTTTTCCAACCCAAATGAACGGAGTCTTAAAACAAGTATAAGTTGCACAACTTCATATTATATATACATAAACTGCAGCCTGTAAATGTTAAAACTTAAAACAGAGTACAACTTTAATGCAAAGCACAATAAATTACAGGGAACTGAATCAATGTACAAGTAATAACAAAAACTTAAGAAACTTTCAGTTTAGAGTTAGTGGACCATAAAACAAATCCGTGAGGGTTTGGTCCAAAGCTTACAATATCATACTAATGCGGAGTGGGAGTGAAGGTAGCCTTAAAAACTGCTCCGTGTGAATATGAAGTACCTTATTAGCGCAGCCCGGGGAGAATGGAGTTGATCCCACCATTGGAGAAAGGAAACGGCCGGATAAAAAGACTGCGGCCTGGGCCTTGAGTACTGTCAGCTTTGTTATGTGCCGCCCCTGGTTTGCTTTGCTGCAACAATATGCAACGGGAAATGGGTTCCTTCAAGAATCGGAATTTATTTCCTTTTCTCTTGGATGGAAATGAAATTCAAAATTTTAAAAATTCAGAATTGAAATTACCGAGTGCTGCCTCTGCTCACAGTGGTGACGAATTGGCAAAAATCTAAGTGGGAAAGCTGGGCGCTGGACCCATTGCGCCAGCAGGACGGTGGTGGTGGTGGTGGTGGTGGTGGTGGCGGCGATGGTTAAAGAGGCTCAAAAACGAAAAACTTGTCTTTATCATCTAAGCCCTCCCTCCAAAAAAAACATTTCATCTCCCCACTCATGCGTCCCCCTAAAAAGTCATTATCTAAAAAGTCATTATCCCATATTATTTGAAATATACTCCGAGAGTCCTTAAAATTGTGTTAAACTGTTAATGAACTACGAGGGTACATTTCGTACATTTGACCATTAGAATTGAAAGTTCAGTTAGGATCAAAAGTTCTATTACTTTGACAAATCAGTCTCCTAATATATTAATGATTATAAATTGAAGGATTTTATTAAAATTTAATAATGGCCAAATAGACGGAATATACCCTCAAAATACATTACCACAAATTTTAAACACCCCTGAAGTATATTTTAAATAATGTGGGACATGGAGGTTCTTAGCAGAAAAACGAGGGTACCTCGAAGTATATTTTAGATAATGTGAAACCTGCGAGTTCTTATGAGAAAATCGAGGTTACCTCAAAATGATTTTTCTTTTTTTGTGGGCGCAATTCATTAAGATTCGAGATTTTCAAAAAAAAATAGTACCAGTACTATTCAAATAGTTTGGTACGTTTTAGTTTTACGACGAAAACCATTTGGTACCGTGTCACTTCAAAATGGTACCTTATCATGTTATATTGTTATAGTATATATAAAAATCATTCATTGAACACGATCACAAGCTTCAGCTTTTGGTTGAGTTGGTTCCCTAACATGGTCGGAGTCTTGATAACAAAGAAGTCACAAGTTCAAAACTCACTGCCACTCAGTTTTTAAAAAAAATTAAGGTTTCACGTGTAAGATTCAAAAAAGTCAAGCTGGCATGTGAGGGGGCGTGTTAAAGTATACAGAAATCATTTCTGGACAGCTGGACCATATCCACAAGTCTGAGTTTTTGGTTGTGTTAGTTCCTTAACATATACCATTGTCAAACCATATCGCAGTGTTTTAAGAGTTAGAAGCTTTATTATAAAAAATTAATCATTGAAAGTAAATGTTGGACACACCAATATGTTCTTATATCCTTAATTAATAAACATATTGTTTAGTACTTCTTTCGTCTTAGAATATTTATTAGTTTTAACTTTTTGTAATCAATCAAAATAACCTTTTGACCTATAACAAAATAAACTTTATATTCACACAAAAAAACTTTATATCGTACTCCCTCCGTCCCGGAGTATTCGTCCAGTTTTGACTTTTGGAAGTGTTTATCTAAGAAATTTGACTCATCAAATTCTCTCAATGTGTAAGCCTAAATGCCCTTCTGAGGTTCGAACCCGGGTGGTGTGATTCGCCAATCAACCCTGTGACCATCTCTACAGGGGGGAACCACATGTGTGTGTGTGTGTATATATATATATATATATATATATATATATATATATATATATATATATATATAACACGGAGATCGGTATCACGCTACCGCCCAGACGATACCTAGGTACCGTCGGCACTCTAGCCCCCTACCGCGGCAGCAGTAGGCATTTACCGCCATGTGTTTTCTCCACCAGCGATGGCTAGTGGCAGTCGGTACCAAGGTACTGTGACACGATACTGAGGTACCGTACCAGGTACCGTCCAAAACCTGGTATTTTCCCTGAAACCATATTTTTGAAATATTAAATCCTATTTTTGATACCAATAAATTATAATCCATATAAGTATGATTTCTAGAAATAAAATTGATGTTATGATGATCCAAGAACCGTGTTTGATGTATGACGGTAAGCTAGTGTGTTAATAATCGACGCTAGGTCGTTATTTGTTATTGAATATTATGATTATTATTATTGATTGATGATTATGATGATTATTACTGATTGATGATTATGATTATTAAACCTTGATGAATATTCTAATTAGAATGATAATTATGAATGATTGAACCATGATTTAAAAATGAATATATTAATGATTATGAAAGTAAGGTGTATATCTAAGGGTATCTAGAAAAACTCTAAGATATACCCATGTGGATGTTAGCTTCTAAGGCTATCTAGAAGACATCTATGATAGTCCTCAGACTAGAATAGGCCTTACGGGTATAAATATGAATATTCGGTGGCCATGGTACAAAGGTACGTACGAGATTCGCAAACCAAACTACAGGATCACTCATTAGGGGATACCACTCAGGCTAACAGTGAGCATTCCGCTGTTCAATTTCTAGTGTACCTTAAACGAAGGCTAGTTTAAGAGTTGGAAATCCTTTTTAAAAATTGCACCTTAAACTAGACTAGTTTAAGATTTGGTTAGGAGTAACTTAAACTAGATTATAGTTTAAGAGTTGGGTAAAAATATATTAAACTAGAATTAGTTTAAGAGTTGGTAATGATTAAAGAGATTAGACTTAGACTAAGAATAATTTAAGGGTATTGTTGATGAATGTTGCATATATGAATATTGATATTGAATATTAAATATTCACGTTATTCAACCTTTTGAATCAACATTCGGTTATCTACTCGAACAATTCATTCTTTAACCAGTTTTTACAATCTAGAATGCATTTTACTATCTTAACTAATTTATTTTCTTACCATTTCTTTCCCAAACGCTAACATTATTTTGATCCAGAAATCTTCCTCAATCCTCCTATATCATAACTATAATATTATATATATATATATATATTGGGTATATATTGTGAGAAAAATATTGTTTATAAAGCTTTATTTGTACTTCCTCCGTCACAATTACACTAACGTTTTTATGATTAACGCTAATACTCCGTATAATATTTGTTAGAATTCGATGGAAAATTTTCATTTCTCTTCGCATAATTTCCCATGCACCCTCCACATCCGTCCACCCCATACCACATTTCCTCCCACCCATCCCACCCCTACCGCCCTCTACCCTTACCTCGACCCCACATACACCTACCACCCTTTTCCACCAACCCCCATTCCGCACCTTCTACCCTTCCCGCGTCCTCACCCACTCCACCCCATCCACCTACCTTGGGTTATTTTTTGTTTCCAATTGATTAACTCAACATTATTAATTTTATCCATACAAATAATTTTGTACTCGATCTGTCCTTAAAACTTCTTTGTCTCACTAAGCACGAGTTTTAATGTAATGTTAAATAGATTTGTTTTTCAGTTTTAAATTTTAAACTTTAATTTTAAATTTAAATTCTTAGTTTTACTTTTTATTTTTAAAGTGTATATTGTAAATTTTAAAGTTTATATTTTAAATCCTTTGGAACCGAAGTGTAAAAGCACCTTCTATTGCTATTACTCCAAAAGAATTCACTTGATTTCATTTTGACTCACAAAATTCAAATTGTTGATTTCAAATTATTTTCTTATGTTATAGAATTTAAAATCTTGAATTGGTATGTTTAGAATAAAAGTTTTTGAATATTCATAAAAAAAAACTTTTTTTTAAGAAAATACTCTCTCCGTTCTATAAAAGTGTTCCTATTTTGACTTTGTGTAAAAATAAGGAGTGTTAAATTATACTCCGTAGTTGACTTCCAATTTTGCTCTTGATGTGATGGTAAAAGTAAGATGTGATGGATTGAGTATTAGAGAAAAAGTATGATGTGATAGGTAGGGTATGAAAAAGTAAGGGTAAAAGTAGTTTTTTAATAGAGAGTGGAAGTGTTTTGTTGGAAGTAAAAAAATGAAAGAGGAAGAGTTTTTGAGAACGGAGGGAATATATTTTTTCTTAACAAACAATGTAAGGTATGATTGGAAAATAATTTTAGTGGAAAATCATTTAGAATACATTTTCATTTCGAATACATTTTCACAGAAAACATATTTCCTCAACCAAACACAACCTTAATATATGGATCTTAAGATAAGAGAAGCAAATGAGGAACAACTTAAAAATAGAGTAAATTTCATAAAAGGTCTCCAGTTATATGCCGTTTTACATATTTAATACCTACATATCAAATATTACTAATTTAGCCCCCATTTATTACATTCATTTCCACGAATGGTCCTTTGTTAACATTTTCGTTAAGAACATGGATAAAATTGTAAATTCACACTCCTTTCTCTCCTCAATTAAGCTTTCTCCCTCTCCTCACACTCCTTTCCCAACCCCGTCGCTAAGTTTGAAGCTTTGGACCCAAAACCGAAATCATCGCTTTTCTCTCAATTGTTTGTTTTACTAGTGGAACCCAAATTCAAAATTAGTAACCTTCATGGATGAGTTTTAATTTTTATTTTCTTTGTAATTTCTTGAAACTAACCGATAAAATTCATCCATAAAGCTTGTTGGTTTTGATTTTAGGTTACACCAAGAAGACTAATAATTGAGAGAGGAATGCTCATTTTAGTTTTGGTTTAGAGTTTCAAACTCAGCAACCGAGTTTGGGAAAGAGTACGAGAGGAGGGAGAAGCTTAATTAAGGAGAGAGAAGTATGCATATACAATTTTATCCAAATTTTTAACAAAAATGTTAACAAAGGACCATTCGTGAAAAATGATGGAGTATAATAATTGGGAACTAAATTAGTAATATTTGATATGTAGGGACTAAATATGTAAAACGACCTATAACTGAAGACTTTTTATGAAATTTAGTCTAACAAATACTTTTTCCATTTCTTAAGACAATTTCTCTTTCATTTCATTTTTTCTAAAGATATAATTTTAGGATAGGAGGAGAGTATACAAATTGCCAACTGCGCCCACCGGTAAAGACATCCTCCCTTATCAAGAAAAGGGTGGGTGTGTGGTTTCTGTAGAACAATCATAGACTTTGGAATTTTCTTTTGTTAGAAAAAAAAAAGAAGAATAGAACTCTTGCGAAAGACGGACAATACAATATGGCTTCAGCAATTTTGTATGGGATTGCTCAGGAAATCTTGAAGAGCGTGGGTTCCTCTGTAATTCAAGAAATCGCTTCGGCTTGGGGCTTCAAATCCGACCTGGAAAAGCTGGAGCGCAACGTGAGCACCATCAAAGACTACCTGGCTGATGCCGAGGAGAGGCAAGGCGACAGCAAAGCTGTCGGGGGCTGGCTTCTAAGCCTCACCGAAGTTGTCTATGCTGCTGATGACCTGCTGGATGAGTTTGGCACAGTCGCAACCAGGAAACATCTCTCCGGTGGGAACGAACTCGCCAAGGAGGTGACCATGTTTTTCTCGCGTCACAATCAGATTGCATATGCTGCCAGCATCTCTCGCAGGATAAAAGCTATCAGGGAGGAGCTGGATGCCATTGTTAAAGTGGGGAACGGCTTCGACTTGGCACGCCGGTCTTATGAGCAAGGGAGAGTGATCAAGAGGAGGGACGAGAGCTATTCTCTCGTCGAGGCTGGCCAAGTTATCGGTAGGGATGCCGATAAGAATGTCATTTTGGACTTGTTGCTTGCACCGCCGTCTGCCGATGAGCACGACGTTATTGGCATTGTGGGAATCGGGGGCATGGGGAAGACCGCTCTGGCTCAACTCATCTACAACGACCCTTTGGTTGAGAAAAATTTTGGGTTGAGATTGTGGGTGTGTGTGTCTGATGTGTTTGATATCAAGGAAATTACCGAGAAGATTCTCAGATCTGCAACCAATTCAGAAACCCCAAAGTTAGAGATGGACCAGTTACAGAGCAGATTGAGGGCAGAGGTCGGCGATAAGAAGTACTTGCTGGTTTTGGACGATGTATGGAATGAAAATCGCGAGAAGTGGGTAAAGATGAGGGCTCTTTTGAAAACTGGTAGGAGTGGGAGTAAGATCTTGATAACTACTCGGCTGGGTACGACGGCTAGAATAATGTGCACGGTTCCTCCTCATGACTTACGAGGCCTATCAAAAGAGAAGTCGTGGGAGTTGTTTGAAAAGGTGGCGTTTGTGCCTGGGCAGATGACACACCTCGTTGATATGGGAAAGGATATTGTTGAGAAGTGCGCCAACGTTCCATTGGCCATAAGAGTTTTGGGAAGCGTTCTTTATGGCAAAGATGAAAGCAAGTGGTTGTCAATTAAAAACAAAAGTCTTGCAAAAATGTTTGAGAAGGGGGACATTATGAGCATTCTCAAGCTTAGCTACTATAATCTCGAATCTCCTTTGAAAAACTGTTTTGCTTATTGCGCTCTGTTCCCCAAAGACTACGTCTTCAACAAGGATATGTTAATGGGTCTTTGGATGGCCGAGGGATTCATTGCTCAACCAGATGAAAGCCAGAGCCTTGAAGAGCTCGGCGAGGAGTATTTTCTTACTTTGCTGCAAAGGGGATTCTTCCAAGACGTCAAAACGGATGAATGGGGACTCTGCATCGAGAGTTGCAAAATGCACGACTTGATGCACGATCTTGCTCAAGAAGTGGCCGGGGCCAAGTGTAAGGTCTTGAAAGCCGATGAGAGTTGCCACCAGAACAAAATTTATCACTTGTCTTTTGCTTACCGGTTGAACTTTCAAAGGAATATCCCGGCAGCAGTGCTAAGTTTGGAGCATCTGAGGACATTGTTATTGCCACAACAACTAAGCGACGGGTCGACTTTTAGAAAACCGATGATCAAAGAAATCACATCAAGCTTAACTAAGTTGAGGGTGTTGGATTTGCATGGCCTTGGATTGACCAATCTACCTACTTCAATAGGTAAATTGATCCACTTAAGGTACCTCGATCTCTCCTTGAATCCGATCCGTGTCCTCCCTGATTCAATCACAGAACTCCACAACTTGCAAATGCTAAATCTGAACCGTTGTGAGATGCTTACAACATTACCTACAAATATCAAAAGACTTGTCAATTTAACAAGCCTTGATATTGGTGAATGTCGTCCCATGTTTCATCACATGCCTCTAGGAATAGGCGAATTGACTTCTCTCCGTAACTTACCACTTTTCACAGTGACTAAGCATGTCGGTAGTGCTAGACTAAGTGATCTAAAGAAGCTCAATAACTTGAGAGGAAAGTTGCACATAGTTTTTGATGATGACTTGGAAACTACGATGCTAGAGGCAAGAGAGGGGGACTTGACCTGCAAACATGGTGTGAATGAGTTGGAGATAAGTTTTACCATGGGACTTGACTCTGGTTCTAATGATCATGATGAGGTGGTGCTGGAAGGCCTAAAACCACATTCCAATTTAAGGAAGCTAAAGATGTCACATTACAAGGGCGGGAAGCTCCCGAATTGGGCAATGAAGGAGAGCTTGGTTCTTACTCTTTCAAAACTAGTTGAAATTGAACTTTACGAATGGAACCACTGCCAAATCCCCGCGTTTAGCCAACTGCCTCTTCTGAAGCGCCTTTCACTTACACGATTGCTGTCTGTGGAATACATGGAGACGATGGTAGAAGGAGACCATTCATCGTCAACAACATTATTCTTCCCATCCCTTGAAACACTTGAGCTGCATGTGATGCATTGTTTGAAAGGATGGTGGAAGGGAGTTGGCGGTGAACCTTACGGAGCACAACCACCCGGGTTATCGTTTCCCAAGTTATCAAAATTAGATATACATTGGTGTACGAACCTAACATCGCTGCCATCGTGCCCTAATGTGGAGGAAGTGCATCTGTCACACACACTCAACAATTTCTCAATACTCAACGTCCTAACAGCCTCGTCGAGGTTGACGTCACTGACGGTCAATATCGCGGAAGATCTTTTACGCATCCCGACACAATGCCTGCTCCAGCTCTCTCGGCTCTGCATAAAGGATTCCTCACTAGTTTCCGCTGACAAATTCGGAGTCTTGTTTGCAACTTTATCTTCGTCTCTCCAGTGTTTGTCATTCGACTCTTGCGACAACTTGAGATCCCTCCCTAAAGGCTTGGAACATCTTGCTGCATTGGAGAGGTTTGCAGTTCTTTCCTGTGACCAGATTGATCTAGAATGCAAAGACAAAGACGAACGTTGCACAATTCCTAATGATATGCCATGGAAGGCCTTCAAAACCAGTCTTCGTTCTCTAAAACTATTCGGTCTTTCGCAACTAGCGAGTCTGCCTCGAGCGCTTCGACACCTGACGAATCTTCGTTCTCTCGTGATAGCGTTCACTGGTTTGAGGGAATTGCCCGAGTGGATACGTTGTTTCTCCTGCCTTGAAACCCTGGAATTGGTTTGCTGCTCTCAATTGACGTGTCTGCCTGGAAGCATCCGTGACCTCGCTGCTCTGCACGAGCTCAAAATCGCCCTGTGCTCAAAAAAATTGATCAAAAGATGCCGAGGCCCAAACGGCAGCGACTGGCCTAAGATTCAGCATGTCCCTCGTGTTATTCTTAAGGATTATGACTCTGTGGTGTAATACATTTGTCAAATAAAGCACAATTCTTTGCCCCCTTTTTAAAAGTTTGTAATACTTTGTGTGTACTTCCAAAGAACACACACTTTGTGTAATCCTTTTACATTTTTCTCTTTTGGTACTGAGTTAAACTAAAATTTCACCAAGATGAGCTCAACGTGAACAGAAATCTCGTGTGGAACAGAAGGGTAAAAGCTCGTTTGATTCTGATGGAGCCAAAATTTCACCATTTTTTGGCTTTGGGGTGTGATGGAATAAATCAAAATGGATCTCTAAACTATCTGCGCTTCTTTAATTAATGAAGTAGCAGTTAGTCAAGCAATGCAACTTTCGACGTTGAGTCGGAGGTCTCTTTAGAAACAGCCTTTCTACTTTCGAGTAGGGGTAAGGTCTGCGTACACACACCCTCCCCAGACCCTACTCTTGTGGGATTTAACTGGGTTGTTGTTGTTGTTGTTGTTGGATCTCTAAACTGTCTGCGCTTCTTTAATTAATGAAGTAGCAGTTAGTCAAGCAATGCAACTTTCGACGTTGAGCCGGGGGTCTCTTTGGAAACAGCCTCTCTACTTTCGAGTAGGGGCAAGGTCTGCGTACACACACCCTCCCCAGACCCTACTCTTGTGGGATTTAACTGGGTTGTTGTTGTTAGTACTGAGTTAAACTGAAGTATCGATTCTTGCTTTTACTTTACCTCACCCTGTTGGAGTCTACAAGTGTTTCTTGTTTCAAAGCCAAATCACTTTGAGAATACAAAATTGCCCTTTTATTAGTGCTATTATATCTATAAATAAAAAAAAAATTGGATGTGCTACGTGTCTGTTCATTTGGTTTGGAATAGTTAATTTCAAACCTTTTCACACCAAAATATTACTCCGTATTATCTATTGAATAGGAGTCCATATTTTTGTATGAAATTTTTTTATAAATACTCCCAGAAATTCAGAATTTTACAATAATACTTCCAAAATCAAATAAAGACTCCTGTGCTCCCAATTAAATTTTATGTTTACATGGTTACTTCCATTTTGCCTAATCAATCTTTCTTACTTTTACGCGTCATAAAATGAGCTTAGTTGGCTAATTTGATTTGTATTTTATATTTTAAGGAGTGATAACAATACATGTGTTCAAAAAAAAATACGGAGTACAGTACAGAAAAAAATTTATCCATCTTCATTCCCAAGGTTCAACGGTACGGTGAATCTTTACAAGTGACTTTTCTTCTTTCTTGATATCACACATAGTCTCTCTCGTCTTTCCTCATCTTTTCTTTCAAAATTGTAACCCTAATTCAGATTTCAATTATTAGTTCTAAGGAAAGATGTCAATTGTTTATGGTGATGTATTTAATTTTATGTCATTATATTTTATTCCAAATCGTATTTGTAATTTTTTGTGACTCACTCTCTTTACTTTATAAAATCAAAATCAATCATATAACTTTTTTTTCATTAATCCATGCAATAAAAATAAGAAGATAAATTAAAAATTTTAATTAATCTAAGTTGAAAGAAAAATTGGTTTTATGCAACAAAGGTAGTTTTTAATATACATCTGTCATATAAAGAATTAAAAAATAAATAATATTAATTTTACACAATTATTTCTTCACGTATCAAATTGATATATGAACATTTTTCTGCAAATGCTTAAAACATGCATATTATAAAAATAATTAGTGTATGCACATTTTAGGCAAAATTCACAACAATACTACCAGAGATTACAAATTTTACATTAATACTCCCAAATTCATCTATTTACACTATTACTCCCACATTTTTTTCTTATTTACGTCGTTACCCATCAATTTGGTAGTGATCATCAATATTACTTTGATGTATCTTTTAGCGCTAAGTGACAAGTTAAAATGCTGACGTGCAATTTTTTTTTCACTCTAAACTACCACTCACATAAAATTATTATCTCCCATTGTCTTTCTCACGTCTCAGTAAGCCGAGTCATTGCCTTATCTCCCATCACTTTCTAAAAATTCTTCAGATTTCAAACTTCCTAAATCTTCTTCATGTCTGATATCAAGCCTGTTCATATTAATTTAATATGAATTCAGTCAAAAAGATGAAGAACCTTGTTTAAGAAGACATACTCGAATAACACTGATGATGACTAGGCAATCGTAGAGTAATGACGTAAATAATAGGCAAATGTGAGAGTAACTGTGTAAATAAATGAATTTGTGAGTATTTTTTCAAAACATGTAATTTCTAGGAGTATTTTGTGAACTTTTTCCACATTTTAAAGTTATGTAATGATTAATGAAAGAAAATAGAGTGCGTTATTATTTTGGTCAAATCTTAAAACATTCACTAGAACACATTTCAAAGAAATATAGGTATCGAAAATATAAAAATCACAAAGGAAATTATAAATTAATTAATTTAAGATTTTGATAATTTACGTGACTCTATACTAGTTACTAAAATTTATATTCATGACATTGTTTAAATAAATTATGACATCAAATCAATTTTTTATTTTACTGAGATAATAATAGTAATAATATTTAAAATAAATTAAAAAAATACGGAGAAAGTTTTACAAAGAAAATTGTAAAGTGACTATTTTTTAAAATAATCGACGAAAATGTAATAAGAAAAGTATATTTAGTTAGATCTTGTTAATAGTAAACATAAATCTTACTCCCTTCGTCCATAAATTATCTTTTTGTTCACTATTCACAGGGTCAAACTTTATTCATTTTGTTGGCCTATTTTCGTTGTCCATTTGATAAAATAATATAGTCATGTCACATACCCTAACTTTATTTTGAATAAGTAATTTTTTTTATTTCACACCATCTTTCATATAAAATGATTTGAAAATAGCTTTAGTCAAATATCGTAACGCGCAACGGGAAAATAATTGTTGGACGGAAGGAGTATTTGGGAACGAATGAAGTACTATTTTTATGGTAATATTATAATGGCTGAACTCAATTTCATATAAATATAAAATTTACTTTCGCAAAAAATATTATTTCTGAAACAGAAAAACAATCATATTAACAAAATATTCTAGATCAATTCTCGGTTGGTTTTGAAAATGACTTCACACAAATATCATAATGTCGAAATAGGGATCTTATTTCAGAATTGGTGTATTTTAAAATTTAAAATTGTTTTTCCATATTTAATTAACTTTTATTTCAAAAATTGATTAATTTGGAAAATACCTAGTTAGGGAGACCATGTTAGAAGATTAGCATATGTTTTAACGCCAATTTGATGCTGTTTTCAGAGTTGTTAGACAGAGGACTAAATAAAGCACTATTCTCAATTAACGGGTATCAATTCGGTAATTAATTCATCTTGGAGACAAACATTAAAAAACACATTTAATGAAGACCATTTTGAGAATTTACTCTATTTTTAATTTAAGTATAGGTAAAAAAATCGATCTATATTCATCATAAAAAGATCTATATTCACTATAAAAAATCAAGACTGCATAAACAATACAATCTGGAACACGAGAGAGCATGAAGTTATAAGTGTTTAGTTATAAAGTGATTCCTGACAACCATTGGTAACAATAAACATTGTATGTCTAATGAGCAACCAACTAGAGCTGTGGCAAATTATCATTAAAAAATATATAGTTACACAAATACACAATCATAAAACCAAGCCACCATAAATATGTTTGGCGTCACACAATCAGTTCTTTGTTCAATTCAATCTTCCCCAACTCCATCCCTCTGCGAGAATATGGAAAAAATGACCATAAAGAAATAAAACCAAACCTGTTAAAGGAAAGAGAATAGGGAAGTCACGACTGGAGTTTCTTATTCCCAAGTTGGGCATTTCTTTGTTACATGCTCCAACTTGAGGGGTGTTAAAGAAAAGAGAATATTCAGAGAATATTTGGATATATATTTGTGTATATATTGTTTTGGTAGTTTTCCTTATATAGGGATTATTCTTTAATTTCCTTTTCCTTTTCCTTTACTAATTAGGAGTCTCAACTTGTGAGATCCTATATATAGGTCTTCATTGCAAATTGTAAACACAAGAGAGAAATACAAGAGAATTTCCTCCCAAATAATTCTTTCATGGTATCGGAGCCAAAACCCTAGAGGATTTCCGCGACTACTGTGCACGATCGCCCGACATCGCATCCATCGATCGTCACTTGGTGTTGTTGCCGAAAGACCGGAACAGTCGACTGTAGGAATAAGAATGGTCGAAGGCATCCACCGTCCCGACGGTAGTTTCTTCAATTGATACAGCGAGCTGTTCGATCCATTATTAAGCCCGTGTCATCCGGTATGTCTGAAGAGGCATCCATGAAGATTATTTTCAACAAGAAAAATGAGGAAGAAGAGAAAATTGGATTTTCACCGTTGCCCAATTTCGAGGATCTAACTATGGAGTAGTGGAACGCTGTTCGTCACGCCCTTGCACTATCCCCTACAGACATCAATCAAAAACTTACATGTATTTCTGTGTCACCACGTTGGATTATTGATACGGGTGCATCAAATCATATGACAGGTACGATGATCTGTCGTTGTTGTATGATGTGGTGGGCGTGACTCCATGTGAAATTGGGTTACCCGATGGAAAACGGGTAGTGTCTGTTCAATCTGGAAAGGTTGATTTGACAAGGACTTTGACATTGCAGAATGCGTTGTTTGTTCCAACTTTGAAGTGCCATTTGATCTCTGTCTCACAGCTGACGAGGGATTTGAATTGTGAGGCAAAGTTCACCAATGATGTGTGCATGGCATATTACAGGACATAAATTTGAGGACAACGTTTGGTGTGGGGAGACATGAAGGAGGATTGTATTATTTGAAGAAGGAGGAAAGAAGCATGGAGTGCAGTGCTAAGAAGGTGAATTCCTTTGATCTTTGGCACAAGCGTCTAGGACATCCTTCTTCGCATGTTTTGTCCTTAGTTCCCGGAGTTGGTCTGAATAAAAGTAGCCATAGTCGTGATGTCTGTTTACGTGCTAAACAAACTCGTGCTAGTTTTCCCATCAGTTTCCATCAATCTTTGGATATATTTGATATGGTGCATTGTGATTTATGGGGTCCTTATCAGACGCCGAGTTTGGATGGTTCTACCATGTTTTTGACTATTGTGGATGACTTTTCTCGTGCTGTGTGGGTATATTTGCTTGATTCTAAGCGGAGAGTAGGAAGTGTTTTTAAACAATTTTGTGCCATGGTTGAACGTCAGTTTGGGATAAAAATAAAGTGTGTTCGCAGTGACAATGGCACAAAATTCGAATGCTTAAATGAATGTTTTCTAGAAAAATGAATTATTCATGAGACATCTTGTGTATCTACACCGCAGCAGAATGGAAGAGTGGAACGTAAGCATTGTCATATACTGAATGTGGGTCGAGCTCTAAGATTTCAGGCAGGGCTTCCTATTGAATTTTGGGGAGATTGTATACAAACTGTGGCATATTTGATCAACCGCACACCCTCTTCATTGCTAGGGGGGTTACACCGTATGAGAAGCTTTATGGAACGGTCCCTACGAGGACTCACATACGTGTTTTCGGTTGCAGATGTTATGTACACAATTTGAAAAGAGATGGAGATAAATTTGCACCCATATGTATTCCTAGAACATTTTTGGGATACCCACAAGGAAAGAAGGGCCGGCGCGTGTATTTCCCGGACACTGGGAAGATTAGTGTGTCACGAGATGTTGTGTTTTGTGAAAACAGTTTTCCTTACTTGATTTTCGCAGGTGAAATCACAGATGAGAGTGGATCGAGTAGTTCCCCTTTGATCGATCACTTTGAAGATGATGAAGATACGCCCGTGGAAGGGCAGGTGGACTGTTCCATGAGGAACAGTCGGCTGGAGGAAGGTGGGGAAGCAGACAGGCTACAGACGGTCGACCTGATGGACCGTTTGGATGTCCATGGTCAACCGTCTGAGAGGCAGAAAGATGGGTTCCAAGGAGATGAACAAACGGTCGACATGGTGGACCGTCCTGATATCCACGGTCGACCGTCCGAGAGACAGAATGACGGTTCTTTGGGAGATGATCAAACGGTCGACCGTGATGTGGAGGACGGTCGACCGTCTCCGAGGGAGAAAGTCAGTGATCCGGAACAGCTACAGACGGTCGACCCTGTGGACCGTTCCACGGACGGCGGTCGACCATCCTCTTCCCAGCTGGCGGTGGAGAACTTGGGACGTGGTCAGCGTGAGAAACATCCAAATGTGTGCCTCGCCGATTATGTTACCCATGTAGCTGGTTCATACGTTGGTGAAAAATACAAATATCCACTTTCCTCGTATGTTACGAGAAGTTCTCTGACAAACACAAGTGCTTTCTCATCGCACTTGATGCTGAAGCGGAGCCCACGAGTTTCAAGAAGGCATTCCAGGATGAACGATGGAGGAAGGCTATGTGAGAGGAGATTGATGCACTAGAGGCTAATGGGACGTGGTCTCTTGTCTCTCCTCCGCGTCATAAAAAGCCGCTTGGTTGGAAATGGGTGTATAAAATCAAGCGCAAGTCCGATGGAAGTGTGGAGAGATATGAGGCCAGAATGGTTGTTATACTTGGCAATCATCAGGTTGAAGGACTTGACTAAAAGAAACGTTTCCTCCTGTAGTCTAGTTGACCACTGTGAGAACACATTTAGCAGTTGCAGCAGTTAAGGGATGGGAATTGAATCAGATGGATGTTCACAATACATTCCTACATGGAGATCTTTAGGATGAGGTGTATATGAGATTGCCACCTGGTTTCTCGAATTCGTCTAATGTGGTGTGCAAACTCAAAAAGTCTCTGTATGGCTTGAAATAGGCTCCAAGATGTTGGTTTGCAAAACTGTCTGGGGCATTGAGACGATATGGCTTTGTGCAGTCTATTTCCGATTACTCCCTATTTTCTTTCGTTGGAAAGAAAGGAGTAATACATGTGTTGGTTTATGTTGATGATTTGATTATTGCTGGAGATAATATTGAGATGGTGAGCAAGTTCAAAGCTTATCTAGGAGATTGTTTTCATATGAAGGACTTGGGAACACTGAAATATTTTCTTGGCATTGAAGTGCCGAGGAGCACGTCTAAGATATTTCTCTGTCAATGAAAGTACGCTTTGGATATTATTGCTGAGGCAGGATTGTTAGGTGCTAGGCCGTTGGGTGAACCCATGGGAATCATCACTTGGCTCGTTCCCAAGCTCCTGTTCTGACGGATCCAGAGCCATATCGTCGTCTGGTAGGGCGATTAGTCTATTTATCTGTTACACGACCAAAGCTTTCTTATGCAGTCCATACGTTAGCACAGTTCTTGAAGGAACCCAAGGAGGATCAGTGGTCTGCAGCTCTTGGGGTTGTTCGTTATTTGAAAGGATGTCCGGGTCAAGGCATTTTTCTATCAGCAGAGAGTAGTCTTCAGCTCACAGGATGGTGTGATTCGGACTGAGCAGCATTCCCTTTGATGAGGCGGTCCTTGAGAGGCTGGTTTGTGCAACTTTGAAATTCGCCTGTGTCTTGGAAAACTAAGAAACAAACAACGGTGGCTCGCTCGTCTGCTGAGACAGAGTATAGGGCTCTTGTTGTCCTTACTTGTGAAGTTGAAATGGTTGAAGAACTTATTGAGGTGCTTAGGGGTTGAGCATAAGAACCCTATGACCATCCGCTGTGACAGCACAGCGGCTCTTCACATTGCTACTAATCCAGTTTTTCACGAACGCACAAAGCACATTGAGATCAATTGTCACTTTGTTCATGATGAGCTTGTACGAGGAGAGATTCGTACCATTCATGTCCCTATTATGCATCAGCTTGCAGATATTCACACGAAGGCACTAGGGAAGTCACGACTGGAGTTTCTTATTCCCAAGTTGGGCTTTTCTTTGTTACATGCTCCAACTTGAGGGGATGTTAAAGGAAAGAGAATATTTGGATATATTTGTGTATATATTGTTTTGGTAGTTTTCCTTGTATAGGGATTATTCTTTCCTTTTCCTTTTCCTTTACTAATTAGGAGTCTCAACTTGTGAGATCCTATATATGTCTTCATTGTAAATTGTAAACACAAGAGAGAAATACAAGAGAATTTCCTCCCAAATAATTCTTTCAAAACCATCTTATTTCGTGGAGAAATACATAATATACACATATATAGGCTACGTATTATCGAGGCTTAGAAAGATTGTTATTATACCTTCGATGCTGCTTCCCTGAACGTAACTCCCAAAACTCAACTTCAGCACCTTTTAGAGAGGCAAAGACCTGGGCTTGATATGTTCGTTTTTCCCCATATTCTGTGGCAGTAAAGGTCGCGTAAAATGTAAAGCAAGTAGATCTGTCCAAATAAGGATCCGAGCCGGATCTGGGCCGGGCTTATATAAATTATTAGCCCATTTACATGAGCGGCCTGGCCCGACCTGAATTTGATGGGCTAAATTCTTTACCCATACCCGCCCATCTTTGCGGGCCGGAGTGCCCACCGGACCGCCCGGCCCGGATAAAACATCAAAAAAAAATTCTGTACAAAAAATTTTTTAAAAAATATTGAACTCTTTTTTAATATTTAAAATAAAATAACCAGTCACCACATTTATATAGAAAGCATAATAGAGATATTGTTACATAATTAATAAGCTCATCATACTTATTCATTAAAAAAGTATCGATTTTTGTTTAAAAGAGGTGAGTGAATTAAACTATTATACATGAATTATAGAAAATTTTAAAATTTATATTGACTAGGTAATTAATAATAAAGTAAATATATTTGATGAATATGGGCGGGCCTGTTGGACCAAATGGGCTAAAAGTAACTTCCAAATCTGCCCATATATAATTCGGGCTTGGGCTGGCCCGCCCATTTGGGCATTAAAGGTTGTCCATATCCGCCCTTTTTAAAGGGCAGACTGGGCGGGCCGACCCTTGTTTGCACAGGTCTAAAAGCAAGTATTTGCAGCCCGTTCGCCTAAACAAAACCATTATAATGCTAAGTAATTCTAGACAAAACTGACACTATAAATTTTATGTCACTTACTCCAAAATAGTTGTACGTACATAAACAGTGAAAATCATGATATTGAGTATATTTTGGTATTTGTTAAATATGGCAGATATATTTCTCATTCTATTTAGAATATATTGTTTCCTTATTGACCTAGACTATAACTCCTCCCGTGTATGTATAAATACCCCCATGTATGATGAATAAAGTATCGAGTTCACAACACGTTATCAGCACGAAGACTCAAACCCTAGTTTTTTTCGCCTCTCTCGTTTCGCTCTCCCCTGTGCATCGCTGAAGCCTCGCCGCCTCTGCCCAAACATCATCTTCTTCGACCGGAAAAGGAACAGAGCAAAGCTTCCGGATCTTCTTCTCCAATTTTCTATCCCAAAATCCAGGTATTCCTCCAATTGATCTGAAGAATGACAATATATTCTGTTTGATCTAGATTATGATTTGTTTGGGATTGAAAAGTGTTATGTGGATTTCTTTACTTGACCCTTTTAAGGGAAAGAATTTAATTTCAATCATCTTATAAATAGATTTGTAAATACATATATTGAAAAATCATTAGCAGATTTCTAAACCAGATTTACGGTTAACATGATTGGATTTGTTCTAAATTTT